GGGGGGGGGGGGGGGGCAATTTAAAATAGAGTAGGTGAGAAAGGCTTCACCAAATGGGGGACATTTGAGCATGGAAGGAAGTGGGGTAGCAAACCATGTGGGCACCCTCCCCAGCAGAGGGAGCAGAGGCCCCAGGCAGGAGTGTGTCTGTCATGTTCAGGGAGCAGGGAGCAGACAACTGTGGTGTGGAGAGAGAAGGATGGCCATTGGCAAGGTGGGGGTAGAAGATGGGTCAGAGAGGACCCAGGACAGACCTTGCAGGGTCTGGGAGGCTACCCTCAGTATGCTGGCTTCTAATCTGAGTGCAGTTGGAAACCATTAGATGGTTTAGACATGACAGCCTCCGGTGGGTGGAGAATAAACAGAAAGGGGAAAGGTTGGAAGCAAGAAGACTGCTGGGGAGGCATCATGATAATCCAGGCAATAAAGGCTTCTCCATCGTGTGGATTTGGGATGTAAGAGAAAGAGAGGAGCCAAGGCTCGGGCCCGAGCAGTGGGAAGGATGGAACTGGGGGAGACGCAGGTAGAGCAGGTTGGGAAAGAAATGTGAAGAACTCAGATTTGGCCTTGTTGAGGTTAGTGCCAGTGCCTGCTATTTTGGAAAACAGTAACCAGGAAATCATTATTCCATGTGCCACTTTCCTACTCCAGTGAGCTTTGACATCCCTGGACTCTGTTCTGCAGACCACACCAGCCCCCAGAGAAGCTTTCTCAGAAGCTCTTTTTATCACAGTAATAGCAGTGACCAGAGGTGGAACACTGGTGTGTGCCTTTCATGGTTTACCTCATTTAATCCCCACAACCACCTTCTGGGGGGGTTATTATCCCCATTTTACAGATGGGTAAATTGAGGCTCAAAGGGGTTTAAATAACTTGTCTGATGTTACACAGCTAGTGCATGCCAGACCCAGGAGTTGAACCCATGTCTGCATTTCCAAAGCCAGTGGGCTCAACTCCACCCTACTGCCTCCTCCATACAGAAAGTGACCAACTGGTCAGGTCGACGGGGTGCAGCACCCCCAACTCCAACAAGAAATCCAAGATTTCAGTTAGAACTTGTTGCTCAGAGAGGTCCAGTTTTTTTACCTCCTCCTCAGTTTATCATCCAACGGTAGACTTTATGCAACAGGTGACAGCAAGCTCAGGAAGGGGCTTCAGAAGATCCATCTGTAATGTGTGTGGGTTGGATGAGAGGAGAGGAATCACCAGGATCCCTGTGACTTCAGGCCCCGAGGGTTCTTCATGAGGAGTCAGTTTTCGGCCAGGGCTTCTATCCTTCCAGGTCATCAGCTCTTGTCCCCATGCAAACACTCTGTGGAGCAGCCTTCTTTGATCATGCATGCACTTGGGTCAACCTGACATGTTTCCAGACCTGGGACTTCCTGTGGAACTCCATCCTGCAGAAGGAAGCATGAGTGGCCCTGTGTTTTCAACAGCCCAGTGGAAGCCAGGGGCAATCAGGGCTGCAAGAGACACCCTTCATCACACACACAGCAGGTGCTCAAATGGTCTCCTTTTCAAGTTCTGGCACACTAGGTTGTCATCTCATAACCAGAGCTGCTGAGTGGGGCTTTCATGCCACATCAGGCAGTACCGGTGAGGGTGGTGCTCCATAGATGTTCTACAGAGCTGGACAGTCCCCGGTCACCATCTAGCATGCCTGTTCCTGGGATGTCACAGCTTACCACCTCCAACTACTATATCCTGGGCAGCATCACAGCACGTCTCGTTTGAATACCTAGCCAGGGTCTGTTTAAGGGTGTTTTTAAATTATAAATGCTTTAGCTCAGGTTTTCCTGACTCTCAGCTACTGCAGGAAAAAATTACAAGGCAAAGAATCCAGGTTGTAAATGTGGCAGCATGCTACAGAAAGAGTTCATGAACACCTGAAGGCAAGGAGGGCAAATATCTAACATGAATCCTGCAGCTCCTACAC